CAGTTAACGAGTTTTTCGGTTAACGAGCAACCTTCTAGAACGGATTGTGCTCGTTAACCGAGGGACCACTGTATAGCACTTTTACCTCTTTGCAGGCTTATAAAACAGAAAGAAATAAACAATAAATTCCACAAATACTGTACTGTATATTATGAACTATACTGTACAGCACTATACAATGTACAGCTAAACCCCGACTTACGACTACATGAACTTACGTCCATTGGTACTTACGACCTGCTTTGACCGTACATCCGTCGGGACATACGACTGCGACCGTCGTGACCAAAAATATTTTCAAATGACGCGCGCATTTTCTATACCGAAACGTTTCCGTCCCGGGCGAGAGGGTGGCGCGTCTCGGGTCGCCTCGTGGGTACACTCACTCAGTGGAGCGCTTTGTTTGTGTTTGGCTATCGTATCCTATACTGATCGCGCTGTGAACTTTCGTTATTATCGTATTTAATTGACTTTATAATGACTGGAAAGCGTAAAAGTGAGAGTGCTGGTGGTGTTCCAAGGAAAAGGAGACGGGCAATTACTTTTGAGATGAAAATGAAGATAATAACACAGTATGAGAATGGAAAAACAGTTGCAACAATCTCACGCGACCTAGGTTTCTCACACTCGACTATATCCACTATTCTGAAGGACAAGGAACGTATTCGTGAAGTAGAGAAAGGAACAACACCTATAAAGGGAACTATAATATCAAAGAGAAGACAAGGTCCTATTCATGATATGGAAAAATTATTGGTGATATGGATAGAAGACCAGATACAGAAGCGTGTACCCTAAAGCGTTCTAACCATACAGGCTAAAGCAAGAAGCCTGTTCCAAAGCCTGAAGGAGCAGGCAGGAGATGAATGTGATCAAACCTTTACAGGAAGTCATGGGTGGTTTGATAGATTTAAAAAATGCTACAGTCTACACAATGTTAAGGTGAGTCGAGAGGCAGCTGGTGCCGATGTTGGTGCTGCCGAAGCTTTTAAGGAGGAGTTAGATGATGTGATTGTGGAAGGGAATTATTTGCCTGAGCAAATATTCAATGTGGATGAGACTGGATTATTGTGGAAGCGCATGCCTGAGCGGACATACATCCACAAAGAGGCGAAAACAATGCCCGGATTCAAGGCATTCAAGGACAGAATTACACTTCTGTTGGGGGGGAATGTTGCTGGTTTCAAGCTAAAGCCCTTCATGATTTATCATTCAGAGAACCCCAGGGCTTTTAAACATGTCAGCAAACACACACTGCCAGTGTTTTATCGCAGTAACAAGAAAGCCTGGATGACCCTAGTACTGTTTGAGGATTGGTTCATGACTTGTTTCATTCCACGAGCCAAGGAGTATTGTCTGCAACAACAGATTCCATTCAAGCTTTTACTGATTTTGGATAATGCTCCGGGACACCCACCACACCTGGACGACATGCACCCTGATGTTAAGGTAGTGTACATTCCACCTAACACTACCTCTATCATCCAACCCATGGATCAAGGTGCTAATGCTGCCTTTAAAGCGAATTATTTATGCACGACCTTCGCTCAGGCTGTTGCTGCTACTGAAGGTGAGAAAATGCTCAGACAGTTTTGGAAGGAGTACAACATTTTGTCATGTATAAAGAACATTAGTACAGCATGGGATCAGGTTACAAAACATTGCATGAATGGAATATGGAAGAAAATCCTGAAAAGATATGTGCACAGTTTCAAAGGATTTAATGAAAATGAAGTTATTTCGGATATTAGTAACAAGATAGTGGAGTTAGGTAAACAGCTGGAGTTAGAAATTGATACTGAAGATGTTGGACAGTTGGTTGAAAGTGTAGCAGAAGAGCTCAGTAATGAGGATCTTATTGAACTAGATGCACAGAAAATTGCAGAGGAATTATAGAGACAAAATGTAGAAGAAGAACCTGCACCCCCCAAAAAGTTTTCAGTGAAACAAATGGCAGAGGCATTTGCTACAATTAATAAAGCAATGCAAATGTTTGATGACCTGGATCAAAATTATGAGCGTTATGCCAAAGTTGTCAGAACGATCCAAGATGCACTTGCTTGCTACAGAGAAATTTATAATGAAAAGAAAAAGCAAACTGTGCAGTCTAAATTGGACATCTATTTCAAGAAGTCCCCCAGTGCTGTCTCCTCACGCCCCACCAGTGCTGCCTCTTCACTCCCTCAAGTTGAACCAATACCTTCAACCAGCAAGTTTTCACAGCACATAAACCTGTCTGAAGAAAGCGACATTGATGCCCCACCCAGCCCTGTCTCCTCTTCTGCTTCTTCCAATTAATATAGTCTCCATGTATCCTGTACCGTAAATAGAAAATTATGGGGGCCCTGTGTGCATTCAGCTGACTACATTTAAGGTAAGTGCTCAGTCACACTGTATCCATTCCTCATTATTTATTACGCTTAGTGTACTGTATTTCATTGTAGATTTTTAATTAAAAAAAAAAAAAATTTTTTTTTTTTTTAATCTATGTCGGACTTACGACCTGGATTTGGGTCCCTAACCCCGTCATAAGTCAGGGTCTAGCTGTACATTAAACCATAAAACTCAATGGCAGATAATAATCTCGCAGCACAAAACTTTTCCAACTACTGTACTGTACTATACAGTTACCCAAAAATTGGAAATGAAGATGAGACTGATTATGTTTCTCTACTAAGGTGACTAACTATTTTTTTTTCTCTTTTGTTCTTGAAAAACTCATCGCAGGTCAAAATCATAAATCGGAATCATTACATATACCATAATATGGGGTTCAATGAGATACGTTCCAAGCCAGTCCAACATCCATATGTATCACCGGAAATAAAATTGCTACACTAATACTATACCTACAACACTCGCCACATCATTAAGAGCAAGCCTAGTCATTATTACATGTCCTCTTCCTTCGGGGTTAAGGGTACTCTTGAAGGTGGAGTGATGTCATTCTGACTTCTACACACCCTCTGGGGAGTCTCATGCCACTTTACAATGTCAAGCTTCACTTCCAGATACATGGTTTCCCTAGGTGCATTGCCCTTCCAAACATTTTCATAGTTACACCGTTTAGTTACGTGTTGCTCACTTCAGTCACAAAAACAGAGCGAGCAATGATAACGTTATTACGGCCAACACTACTCACATCATGTTCACAACAACATAGGCAAAGCACTTTACAGTAACAAAAACACATACAGTCGTTAAAATCATTTCAGTCACCAAAACAGAGTACAATACAGTAAGTAACAACACTGATAATGACTGAAAATCGTTGAGCTACACGATCACGTCCAAGTGCAATGACCATGGAACAAAGCTTGAGACTACAGTGCACCGGGTATCTGCATGGTAGCACATGGATAAAGCTCAGCTGGCAAGTGCACCGAGAAATGCATTCCATATTGGCCAGACGATGACCAATGTTCATCCCCCCCCCAATTTTTATAGTAAATAGGGAGGTGGTCTTAATACAGTCTCTTCTCGATTTACGACGGGGTTCCGTCCCGACGACCGGGTCGTAAGTCGAATTGGCCGTAAGTTGAAAAGGCAAAAATAATATATAGAAATTATAAAATGAAATACATTACAGTAAAAGTAATCAATAACGAAAAATTAATAAAGTGTTACTGTGCACTTACCTTTAATGTCGTCAGCTGAATGCAAACAGGGCCTCAATAATTTTTTAATTAGGCATGTAGACTACATTAATTGGATGAAGCAGAGGAGAGAGGGCTAGCTGGATCATCAAGTTCGCTTTCTTCAGACAGGCTAACACACTTGCTTGTTGAAGGTATTGGATCATCTTTAGGGAGTGAAGAAGCAGCAGTGGTGGGGCGTGAGGAGACAGCAGTCTGTCAACTTTTGCAAAATGCTCAACATTTTTATCCGTTTCTTCAAACATTTGCATCCCTTTATTAATAGTAGCAAATGCCTCTGCCATTTGTTTCACTGAAAACTTTTGGGGGGTGCAGGTGGTTCTTCTACATTTTGTCTCTCTTCTTCCTCTGCAATTTTCTGTACATCCAGTTCAATGAGATCCTCGTTACTTAGCTCTTCTGCTACACTTTCCACCAACTGCTCGACATCTTCATTATCAATTTCTAACACCAGCTGTTGACCCATCTGCACTATCTTGTTACAAATCTCAGAAATTGCTTCATCTTCATTAAATCCTTTGAAACTGTTCACATATCTTTTCAGAACCTTCTTCCATATTCCATTCTTGCACTGACCTGTAACCTCATCCTATGCTGCAGCTATGTTCTTTGTACATTGCAAAATGTTGTAGCCTTTCCAAAACTCTCTGAGCGTTTTCTCACCTGAGCGTAGGTCGTATGTAAATAATACGCTTTAAAAGCAGCAATAGCTCCTTGATCCATGGGTTGGATGATAGAGGTAGTGTTAGGTGGAAGGTAGACTACCTTAACATCAGGGTGCAGGTCGTCCAGGTGTGGTGGGTGTCCCGGAGCATTATCTAAAATTAATAAAATCTTGAATGCAACCCCTTGTTGCAGACAAAACTCCTTGGCTCGTGGATTGAAACAACTCGGGAACCAATCCTCGAACAGTACTAGGGCCATCCATGCTTTCTTATTACTGCGATTAAACACTGGCAGTGTGTGCTTGCTGACATTTTAAAAAGCCCTGGGGTTCTCTGAATGATATATCATGAAGGGTTTTACCTTGAAACCAGCTACATTCCCCCCAACAGAAGTGTGATTCAGTCCTTGAATGCCTTGAATCCCGGCATGGTTTTCGCCTCTTTGTGGATGTACAGTATGTCCGTTCTGGGATGCGCATAACAGGAAGTTGCTCGGTGAGGCTGGTAGTGCTCAAACCAAAGAAGTCAAGTCGTTTAGGCTGAAGTTAACCAGCTCATCAAGGATGAGGGGCTGAACTTGGCACAAGCTTATAAAGCTGATGAAACAGGGTTATTTTGGCAGTCACTCCCCATCAACACCAAAGCCTTTAATCATGAAGCATCCACACCAGGCCACAAAATGAGTAAGGAGTGCATTTCTGCATTATGCTATGCTAATGGGATGCACTGCTTAAAGTTAGCTGTTGTTGGCAAGTCTATGCACCCACGAGTGCTAAAGGAGTGTATGCGCCAGTTGCCAGTTATCTACTATCACTCCAAGAATACACGGTTTAATTGTGAGATCTTCGATGACTGGCTTTTAAAGCACTTCATCCCTGATGTACGCAAATACCAAGAAGAGGTTATGAAGCTGGATTCTGAAGACATCAAAGCAATTCTGCAGATTCATAATGTGCCAGCTCACCCTAGTGCTGAGAAACTGATCAGCAGTAATGGTAAAATTCATGCCCTGTTTCTGCCGCCCAACACTACGTCCATTATTCAGCCTATGGACCAGGGAGTTATTGTGTCATGCAAGAGGTTGTACCAAAGGGGGTACCTGGATGAAGTGCTGGTAGTGCTGGAGGACGAAGATGATGATGTGAATAACACAAGAGGGATATGTACATTAGCCAACATCAAGAAATACAATTTGAAATCAGCCATATTCAACTTTGCTGCTGCATGGAAGGACGTCAAGATATCCACCTTAGATAACAGCTGGAAGAAACTTCTGCTTGATACTGAACCTGAACTAGACTTTGAGGGATTTGAGGTAACAAATTTTCATTGTGTGTTACATCACGGCAGAGAAAATAATAAAACCATGGAGGATGTGGAGACGTGGTTGGAGGAGAATGAGGGTGATCCAGGTTACCAGTTGCTTTTGGCTGAGGAGATTGCCGATGTTGTCTGCGCTGTTGACAAAGAGGACGACGATGCGAAGAGCAGTGAAGGAGAGGAGTCGTGTGTGTGAAGATGCCTCCCATTAAGCTGTCTGTTGTACGAGTCACTCGAAAATGTCTTTACTTATGTTGACAGCACATTCAATCCTCAAATCCACCACTTTATGAACACCTTCAGACTCTTAGAGAACTTATCATTATGGAGTAGGACAATGCAGGGAAGCAACCTAAGGTGAACTCCTTCTTCAAACCTGTTACTCTCAGAACAACTGAGAATAATAAGTTGTTCTCAGTCCCCACTATATGATTACGGCAACACAAACTAATCTATCCACTGCACAGGGTAAGTGAGACTACATTACTGTATTTTTGATGTTTCTTATTGAGTATCATTATTAGTATTCACTAGCAGATTCGGAGAGGTGTCCCCATTTTAGTCCGTAATAAAAGTTATGAATGAGTGTAAAAGTGATCGGTGACTGGTTACTTAGTTCCCTGTTGTTTAATTATTGATTGGGCTTTGTTGTTTTGAATTATATTATACTATGTACTATAGTAAACAAACGGCCTTGAGTTGCCAGCTGTCTCCAAGAGTGTAAGAAGAATCTTGAACAAGACTACATATGATGCACCGGATCTGTTTTTTATGAAGCTATACAGTGGTCCCTCGGTTAACGAATTACCTTCCACAAGAATCTTCATTTCGGTTAACGAACAAAATTCGGTTAACGAATTCTTACGAAAATGTTTCGACATGCTTTGGCTTGCTCACCAGCTGGAAGAGCAAGCCAAAGCTTACATTCGTTAAAATTGGAGTAAATATCAAGAAGGTTGTACTGTTCAATAATTTTCCAAGTTTTATATTAATTTTTTTAGTAATTTTAACACTTATTTAACATAATTGCAGTACAGGGAACTAGTTTTTGGTGCGCCCATCTGCCACTTCACTCACCCACCAAGGCCTCAGTTTGTATCTCTGTTCAGTGGAGGACACATCTTGCTTGTGGGTCTCTTGAACACAGAGTATTTTTACGTTTTTACAGTACAATTATTGGTCATTATGAAATTTATTTAACATATTGACAATATATAGCGCAGTGCAGTGTTGATTTAAAAAAAATAATCTTGAATTACACCTAGTGAACTTAAAATTTTATGGGTGAAATGACAGCATCAAGCATGGGGTGATTTCTCTTCCACCCCTACTCCTTCTCTTCTCCCTTCTCCTCCACCCCCACTTCTAATTCCCATCATCATCAACTAGGAGCCTTCTACATACACACCTCAAAGTAAGTGTACTTTACTGCATTTTTTTTTTACTTTGTGTGTAATTTTCGGTGAGCTGAAACCAATTACCCAAAATCCCATTGAAACAATGGTTTCGGTTAACTAAATTTTCGATTCCAACTCTACCCGTCCTACTTTTGCTCCTCCTACTGAATCTATGCACTTTCCTATAATCTCCACTCGTAGGGTTGCTGGTGTGCTATCCAGTTTGGATGTGAGTAAGGCGCATGGACCCGGGCAGAGGTCATAGACCCACAAAGGGGCCTAGGGGATGAAAAAATAAGAGTACTGTATAAGGAAATTAAAAATACAAAAGAAAAAAGGTTATATTAATCTACACCACGAAGATGCCGAAAACCAGCCTTTTAATGCGAGACAGATTGTGTGAGTATGGAAACACAGAAGAAGACAGAGCATTCCACAGTTTGGCTGTGCGAGGAAAGAAGGATGTACTAAAACAGGTTATTCTAGTGTGACAGACAGCCACCCTGGGCAAGACGAGTGTTAAGAGCCCAGGCCTTGCTGATGGTACACAGGATGCCAAATCCACCGAACTTGCCCATTAAAGTACCTGTAAAAAAGAGATAGTGAAGCAACATTGCAGCAAAGAAAAAGGGAAGAAAGATTATCAACTAAAGGAGGCGAGTCAATAAGACAAAATGCCTTTGATTCGACCCAATCTAACATTTGGACAGAAGACGAGCCACCCCAGATATGAGAGCAGCACTCCAAGTTAGGACGAATGAATCCCTTATAAACTTGAAGCAACTGCGCAGGAGTGAAGTAGCGACAGCATCTGAACAGCATTCCCAGCTTTTGGGGACCAGCTTTAGCAATGTTGTGGATGTGTGGCATCCATGACATTAGAGGAAATGGCGAGGTCTAGCATATCTATTTTAAAACTTGGCAGAATGATTGCATCCTGATATGTGATTGGTGGGAGATCTTCTAATTTGGAAAGTGTAATTGGTAAATACTGAGTTTTATTACTATTGAATTTAACCAAGATTCTACCTCCCCATTCGGAGATGCTGCAGAGATCCGTATTGATAGATGAAATGATATCAGTTCTTGAAACAGATCTAGTTTGAGAATTAGAGGAAAGGGAAAAATGTGAAGATGAGTGAAGAGTAGAATCATCAGCGTAAGATTGGATAGAATTAGTCGTAGTGTGAAGTAAATCATTGATAAAAAAGAAGGAAGAGAGAAATAGAACCCTGTGGGATGCCACTATTGGTAAAGAAAGAGCGAGATTGATCCCTCGACAACAACTGCCATGGATCGGTTCTCAAGGAAGCTAGAAATTAGAGAACAAAGTGGGGGAGAGAAAACAAAGACTTGTGCCATACTCTGTCAAATGCTTTGGAGATGTCGAGGGACACGACGAAAGTTTCCCCATAATCCCTAAGAGAGGATGACCAAAGATGGGTGCAGTAGGAGAGCAGATCACCAATAGATCTCGCCTGGCGAAAACCACGCTGGTGATCCGACAAAAGAAAAAAGGCGTTCAAGGTGACGGAGAAAATGAGAGTTTAAGACAGTTCCGAAAATCTTAAAGGGATTAGAATGGTCACCCTTCTTCGGGATGAGCTGAACAGAGGTATGCTTTCAATAAGAAGGAAAAGTTTGGGTTTTGAAGCAAAAGAGGCGAGCAAGCACAGGGGCTAGAATTTCAGCACACTTGCCTCTTTGGCTTTTGCCTCAAAACCCAAACTTTTTCTTCTTATTGGAAGCATGCCTCCAGGCCCGTTCTTTAGGAGTGGGGGGGACGACAGGGGCAACCGCCCGGGGCCCCACGCGTGTGGGGGCCCAGCGGGGCCCAGCACTAGACCCAGTGACCTCGGACACATTACCTGTTGACTGGTTAATCTGACCTGACGGCTTACGCCACCATTGCAACCGTGACCTTACCATCCATAGCGACAGTCCCATGGAGGTTGGTGGGGGTGGGTTCCTCTGACCGCATAATCTGACTCCATATACAGTATATATATATATTTTCTGGGGCCCCGCAGAAGGGTGACCATTCTCGGTGAATGTGGCCATTTGTTTTTATTATTAATTTCTTTCTTGTTACACTGGAAGAAATTCCTCTCTGGTTGCAAAACACATGGATTTCCGCAGTCTGGACAATCTCTTTATGAAGGAAGGATGCCGTGGTCATTGAAAACAGGAGGGTGAGATCATCTTTCCCCTGAATTTGCAATTTACATCCATATAAGACCAGCTACACCCTTTACACTGCCATGGTGAAAAAGAAACTGGCTCGGGAAGGTGGAACAAGGAGCTCGGTGGCGTGTTTTAAAATAAAAACACTAGAACAAATAACTCGTCGGTGGATCACTCGCCAATGTTAACCTCAACTTGTAAAACCTGATTTTCCCTCACCTTCAAAGTTCTGCCCACGTTGTAAGAAACCATTGCTGCTGGTGGTGTAAATGGGTCATATCTCCATAAATAAACTTTTGAAAACATATATAATGGCCAAATTTTTTTAAATCACCATGAAAAACATCAGAAAACCCCATTTTGGTTATCTATTTTCCATTGTGGTCACTAACAAATAATTACCAATTTTTTATTAGTTTGAAAATTTTCCCTTAGCAGCATTTTATACCTAAACACCATAGACTTTTCTCCTACAATACTTGTAAAGTTTAATTTGTTATTTATTTTTGGTTACGTTAGGTAAATTGGGATGTTTTCTTTTTAGGAGGGGCACAGGATATAGGTAAGGCAACTACAGTACAGTATATGCATAATGTTGATTTCTGTTGGTATGACAGCCTAATGCATGTGTGTGGTGGGCAGTCTATACAATGATAATTACTAAGATGGCCTTCTTTCTGACTAGCCTAGTAATACTGGTAACCTAACTTAAATTAACCTATCCTAACCATACCATTAACAACACAGTCCGTCAATATGGTTGCTGTAACTATATCTGCAACTTTTTTATAACACAGAATATAGATACAGCAGCCATATGCGAGGAGTAGATGTTTATTTATTTGGCAGCCTAATACGCATGCATGGTTGGCAGACAATATAAACAATGATAGTTACTATGATGGCTTTCTTTCTGACTACCCGGTAATCTATCCTAACATAACCTAACCAAAAAACTAACAACATAGTCCGTCAATATGACTATAATCAGTGTGATTTTTGGCGTACAGCTACCGTACCTATATCCACTATATTTTTTTTTAAATACCTTCGTTTTTTACAGGAAAATATATTTTTCTGGTGAATGTTGGTGTGCTTTGTTTAAATCTGACCTTGATTTTCTTTGGAAATTCCCTATTTATGAGAAATTGTCAGTAGAGACATTTTACTAAGAAATGGGGAATTTCCCCAAAAAATTAAGGTCAGATTTAAGCAAAACACCAAAATACACCAGAAAAATACAGTTTCCTGTCTGCAACGAGTCCTAACCTAACCAAACCTATGGAGTACCACTGGTCACATGAAGGGGGATAAGGAAAAATATGAACTCGATGTCGAGATGCTTGTGATATTTTTTCACTGAATTCAACTTTCCTCCAAAATAATGACTATCCAAGAATGTCCCTAGGGGTTGACCAATATGTTTTTCCAGTGTGTTTTAAATGAATCTGACCTTCATTATTGCCCCCCCCCCCCCAACAATAATGGGGGAGAGCCCGGGAAATCGTGGTTTTTGGGTAAGGGAGAAAACGAAAACGAGTCATCTAACCTAACAAAACCTAGCCTAGCCTAACAAAACCTCGCCTAGCCTAAACCCTACCGGGGGATTTGCCCC